CCTACACAAAATAAACAAGTGTTAAGACAATAAAGGAATTTAATATTGTCATATATGAAAAATAAATGCAGTAACTTGATTCGAACACATGTAAATTTAAAATACAAACTATGTTTAATTTCATTAGTTAAAACCCTTATACATGTTTATAATACTGAAAATCAAAGAATTACACAGAAGTAAAACTGCAGATATAATGCTGATTATAGAATGTCACAGCAAGCTTTCCTTGGAAATTTTTCGTTGTTTTATTGAGCAACAACCATGTTAAATATTCTAACATGGTCTCACAGTTAAATTAAGCTGTATTATTATTTAACAAAAATGGCAACAAATATAATAGTGGAAAATGTTTTGGTTTGTTTTACACTTGGATGACATAAGACTGCAATGTAACTATAGGTCATGAAGCACTCTTACATACTTTAACAATACACTGATGTGCATCAAAATGCATTAATATATCAGATTCATTTCAAAATGGTAGTCAAATTAAATACACAACTGCTATGAAACACAAAAACATACCTTACTACATAAAACACAGAACTTACATTATGTATTAAAATATTTAAAAGATACTTAGTTCAAAAAATGCTTTTATACCTTATAGAAAAAGCATTTTTTTAAAAATATGCAAACATCTGTATAATCCAAGTCTTTATTTTAAACTTAAGTTTTATCATATAATAAAAGGTGACATGTACAAGATTTATGAGGGATGACAGCATAGTTTACAGCTTATAAAGAAAAATGACATATTTGGACTGCAAATTTCAATTCCATAAAAGTAACGAATCCTTGTACACATTTAATTTCTTACTTTTTTATATAATAGCATTTTTATTAAAAAATTTGCATCTGTTTTTTTAAACCAATTTTATGATATAAAGCAGAATATGCATAAAAATATAAAAATTAATTTTCTAATAATCAAAATCCTTTTATTAATTACAATATGATAATAGTCATGATAAAAGAAATTGGGTATGCCATTCATTAAAAAAGAGCACAAATGCTGCTTTTAGAAATCTAAACATACTAGTGCTGCAATAATGAACACAAATAAATTTCTTTTTTTAAAAAAACTGTTGTTACAAACAGCATCAAAATTTATTTCATGATCCAAATTTACTATAGCCATTACTTAATTATTACTTATTGTCTTTAACTTAAAGAAATATAAACTTATAAGAATCAATTCTATAAATTTATAAATACAATGAAATAAATAAATATAAAATTAGAAAATATGGCTATTTCGTACAAGGCATTTTCACTAACAATTGCATTAAACTTATAGTAAAAGCAGAAAGAAAATATCTTCAGAAATTTCTGAAGAGATCTTTCTGCCTCAGAAAAAGCAAATTCTCCTGAAATCTTTCTGCTTATTGAAGATTATTATTACAAAAAATACTTATTGAAGATAATCAAAAAATACTTAGGATATTTTCTTTATCAAATGTTGTCACTAAAATCTATCCTCAAATAGCTAAGTTCCATACCAGAGTTTCTATTGTTAACTTGAAACTGGTACAAATTATGACTACTAAAAATCTTTTACTCATGTCAAGTACAGTACATGAAATTTATTCAAACGGGAATGACTGCAGTGATGAAATCGTCTTGGCATCTAATAAGGAACCATAGAAATGTGCTAAGCTCATTAGAAGGTCACACCACCAGTTAAATGGAAAGAGATACACACTGCAGAAATTTTGTAGGTGACTAGCATTTGCCACATTATATGCTCAAGGAGAAAACATACTTGTTTCTCATTAGAAATGGAAGTTTTCAATTAACTACATTTAAATTTCTCACAACTATTTACCCAATCTGAACTGTATAATAATTACAAGATCAGTACTAGAGTCACTCAACATTAATAAATCCATCAAACACCAGTTGTGAGTACAGCAATACTAGACACACATCTGATTCTTTTGGAACGTAAGTAGTCCCTATCTTTCTTTGCGTCACAACACTTAGACGGAGAGCAAGGCACCTTATCAAAACGAAGCTGTCACTCATTTTGAAGAGGAAACTTTAAAAAAAAAAATAAATAAAATAAGCTTAGTATCAAACATGTACATGATCCGAGCGGTGACTGTGGTGATTAAAAATTGTCAGAGTTCGTGTGTCTTCTACACTACCAGAGTTGGCCGGGATATTTAAGCCATTGCTCCCAAATGTACTAGAGTCACAAAGTTCTCCATTTAGAGGACGAAACGCTGTGAGATTAACTAAAGTGGCAGATGTTTTCCCAACACCTGCCGCTGCAACATTTCCAGAACTAGTCCTTGTGAATGAAGTACTGTTCCTTCCGAGACTTCCAACAGTACTACCACGACCAACACTACTCGTGGCACTAGCACGTCCTGTGCTCCTTGCAGTGTCACTGGCAGCATCTCCAGAATGACTGCCTGAGCGAGATCCACTTTGACCGCTTGAATGACTTCCTCTTTCTGCAAAATTAAATAATTCCTTAAATTGTTATAGTTATGAAAAGTATTTAATCTCATAAATAAAATATTGTAAATGATCTGAGACTTAAATAAAGACTTAACTTTTAGAATCTTGAAAAACAATTAATACATTCAATAATAACTTTTTTTCATATTCCTGAAAAAAGGGCTTTAAGTAATATTTTTTATTCATATTTTCAAAAAATAAAAATGTGTTGCAAAATTTTAAAAAGTTGGAACTTTCATGAACTTCAAAGCTTATTGAGAAACAATACAACTATTTCTATAGATCAAATACATAAAAAATTTCAGTTTGTGAGAAACAGTAATGAAAACCATGATTCTAGTTCAAACAATAAAAACCAATTCTTTGTTATTCTGAATTGCTAACAACAAACTAAACAAAACTCTTCACACCCAAACCAAGCAAACCATTTCCTAAAAAGGGGGGAGGGGGCTGAGTTGTGTTCTTCTTATAGGTATTCTCACAAGCTGCATAAATATGCTCAAGCATGATTTATCAGATCAGATAACAAAGTCTGCAGATCCTCATAATCCTGTTTAATAGGATTTGGGAACTAAATGTTAATCTTTTGATATCTTGGAAATCAGTAAAGGAACACAATGTTACTACAGTACAGCCCATATTCCGGACTTGTCGGGACTTCGGCGATTCCAGATTATAGATCATGAATTTAAATCTGGTAAGATGGCATGCAGAAATTATACAATTAAAAATATAAAACCGTAATTTATGAAATAAAGAGCATCAAAATTTACAAAAAAAAAAAAAAAAAAAAAAAAGAAGCAGCTTAATTAAACATTTCTTTCAATGTAAGTTATTTAAGTTGCTTCCTTTTTTTGTGCTAATCCTTTCTCTTTAATTCTATAAACAGACATAATTTCTTGTTCAGTTACAAAGTTCCACTGTTCAAGTCCTGTAATTGCTGTGTCGAGAATACCAACTAATTTGTCAATCGAAATTCTTTCATTTTCAATAACCTCTGTTACTTTCTTTACTATCGGAAGTGCGCATGGGTAAACGCTTTATGCGTAAGTTTTGTTGGCTTTAGTTTTTCTTATGCAAATTTTGATTGGAGGTCAATCGGTGGTAAGCTAACATGGTTGCCACTGATGTCAAGATCAGCGAGTTGGCCGAGTATTATACATATGTACGCCGGTATCGGCGAATGTCTGATTATGAGTTAGCATTATGCTAGTTTTCTCTCCCTTAAATGGTTTTAAATGTAAAGGCTACAGTGTTAGCTTATTTTAATTTACGGAATAAAGCATGAATTTTATTTAAATTAGTCTTAGCTTTATTTAAGGGAAGCAAAATATGCTTTGCCTATATCCCCACTGCCAATAGGGTTATAGGCCTAGCGCCAACGGCTAGCCTGTCACCCAGTTCAACTCAGCATTGAAGGAATGTAGGTAACGAGGGCCGTTACTCGCGAAAAGAAGCTGACCTGTCTTAGAAGTTCGTTCAAGTTGTTGTGCTCACACTTAATTGCAGATGTCATTACTACCTGTAGGTTATAAGCTGTTAAACCATGACAACTGGGATCGATGGAAAGTAAATATGAAAATGCTGTTATTGGATAAAAATTGTTGGAGCTTCATAGAGGACAAAGAAAAAGAATTAGATAAAAGTGCAACAAGGCGTGAAAAGCAGGAATTCACATTGAGAGAGAATAGAGCCTTCATTACATTATATTATGGAATTAAAACTGAGTTCAGGCCGCTGATACAAGAACGTTCAAGTGGTAAAGAAGCATGGGAAGTTCTACAGAAACAATTCGAACTCAAAACAAGAGCAAGGATAATTCAGTTACTGGATGAATTTTTTAGCATTAGATATACTCTAAATGAAGAAATAGGATTATTCATCACGAGGGTAAGAATGACTGCAAAGAAGTTGGCTGAAGCTAGACACAACTTGGTAGATCTTTTTAAAGGATTTCAAGCTATAAGGAGATTACCCCAGGAATACTCCAACATTGTACAGGTGATCTATAGGTGGAAGGATGAAGATTTTATGCTGGAAAGAATTGCTGAAGAACTGGTAAGGGAAGAAAGCCGACTTCGCCAGGTGAATGATGATTTAGAAGTCAGCAAGGTAAGCGTGTTTAATACTATTAGTTCAAATGCAGGGAAAGATAAGAGTTGAAAATTAGACTAAATCTAAGAAAAAAATGGGGAATATGAGACTAGGACCTTGTTTCAGATGTTATAAATTTGGACATATAATCGCTCAATGTAAAGAAAATATAAGTAAAAATCAGAAGTTTAAAATAAGACGATAAAAATGGACAGTTTAAAGATAAAGAATTAATGTCAGTAGAAAATTCTGTAACAACTACAGATAAAGGAGGTAACGCAGATAAATTTAATTGGGTCTTAAATACTAGCTGTAGGAAATTGTGAAAGTAAAGTACTAGAAAAGGGTACCATCTAATTTGCAATAAAAGTAGGCAATTGAATAAATTGGATCGAGTTAGATAATGTGTTATATAATCCAAATCTAAGGAGAAATTTACTATTTGGAGCAAGGTTAGAAAAGGAGGTGCTCATTTTGTGATTTCAAAAGGGAAGATGTGGATATACTTTAATTGGGATAGATTATGCTACGCTAAACGATATGACAGACTTTATCACATAAAACCATTTAGATATACAACAGATAAAAAGGAAGCTGGTTATGATACAGAAATTGGAAAGTTAAACAAAGTAGACGATGCAACGCTATGGCATCGGAGATTTTGCCACATAAATTTTGATTATATTAAGAATCTAGTAAGAATTAAAGTGTGAAAGGGTTATTAGAAATTGAAAAACCAATGGAGAAGTTTGAACCGTGTATTATTGCTAAATCTAGTAGAACAACTTTCAAAACTGTTCCGAAGAGATCGGATAAACCATTGCAGTTGGTTTATTTAGACGTTTATTGCCCACTCCCAGTTCTATCTAAGGGTGGGAGTAAATATTTCCTCGCTATTGTGGATGAGTATAGTAGATTAGTAACAGTGTATTGTATGAAAAATAAAAATGAATCGTTCTACAACTTTAAAGAATTATCATAGGCAAATGGAAAGACTGACGAATGGAAAATTAACAAGTATCCACACCGATAATGGTGGGGAATTGTGTAACAGGCAATTCGAAGGGTACTAAGTTGAAAATGGAATTAGTGTTGAATGCACAGACATGTACACCCCAGAAGAGAACGGTGTGTGTGAATGTTTTAACCGAGCGGCATTAGACACAGTTAAAACTATGCTTAATGATGGTAAAATGGGAAAAGAATGGTGGGCAGAAGCTCTTGGCTGTTTTGTACATACGAGGAACAGAGTATGTCATAAAAGCAACTGAACCTCTTATGAAATGTCCCTAAATAAAAAACCCAGTGTTGTTTATTTTAAATATTTGGCTGTAAAGCCTATGTTGGTGTGCCAAAACAGATTAGAAATAAATTACAAGTGAGGTGCAAAGAAGGAATCATGGTAGGATATGCAAAGGAAAAATATCAGACTTAAACTGAAAAGATACTAAAGAAATATCAGACTTAAACTGGCAAAGAAAAGCAGTTAAAAGGCCAGATGGAACACGTACAGATATATATTATTATGTAGAGGGAAGACATCCGTTTTAGATCCTATAATGATATTGAAAAGTATGGTGAGGCAAGAAATATTAAATTTGAAAAAGATAAGTTTGATTTTAGTGGAAAAAATAAATACTTGGGGAAGTTAATTTTGTAGAACAGGAGACTAGCTCCGTATCTAAAGAGGCAAATTCCGTAGAAATTGTTATCCCACAAAATTTTAAAGAAGCACGAAAATCAATAATTGCGGAAGAATGGGATAAGGCAAAGAAAAGGAAATTGACACAATGAAGAAAAGAAAGGTTTGGGAATTAGTCGAAAAGCGAGAAAATAAAGCTATGCTAGGAAACAATGGGTCTATACGCTAAAAAGAAATGAAAAGGTTAGATACAAGGCATGTTTAGTAGCACAGGAATTCAGGAAGAAAAGAGGTGAAGATTTTGATGACATTTACAGTCCTGTAGTAAATTTTTCAATCATAAGAATATTTTTCACTATACTGGTATGTTTATATGAATGGACTAATTGTCAGTTAGATGTAAAGAACGCATATTTATATACAAACCTAAATGAAAAAATATATATGACTCAACCAGAGGGATTTATTGAAGAGAAACATAAAGTGTGTTTATTACACAAGTCTACATTTAGCGGCCAGAATCTACATTTTAATTTGAAATCTACATTTAAGAAATCTACATTTTAAGAAAATACAATGGTGTAATTGCGTTTATAAGAGTTCAAATGTAATTTTCTTGTTATATATTAATTGTTATATGTAGATGATATTGTGATTTTTAGTGAAGATCAATATAATATAGATAAAGTAATTTCACAGCTGAGTAAGTTTTCTTTTTATCTTAAAGTATTAGGCAAAACTAAAACTTTACTTGGAATTGAATTCTTAGAGAATGAGAATGGCGTTTTTATACATCAGCAAAAAATATCGAAGAAATTTTTGAAAAATTTAAACATTTCCAGATACCAATAACTTCACTTCCCACAGCTAAAAGCACTATTCTTACAAAATTAGATTGTCCATCTACAAGTGCAGAAATTGCAGAAATACGTATATTATCCTTTAGAAATCTGTTGGGATGTTTAGTTTTTGTACCTAACAGGACAAGGCCTGATATTATATATACAGTGAATATCTTATCACAATTTCAGGAGAATCCTAGAATTAGGCATTGGGAAGCATATTTGAAATTGATTGCTTGGTTATCTCAATAGTACTAAATTATATAAGTTAAATTTATCAAAGATTAAACATCTAAATTTATATTGTTATTCAGATGCTGATGATGCAAGTAATAGGGATGACTGCGTGTCCATGGGAGGATTTATATTATATTTAGATGAAGTACTGGTAATCTGGAAAACTGTTAAACAAAAA